TCAATGAAATTTGATAAATAAATACAATAATAATTATGTTATGTGGGTTACTTTATCAATCAATTTAGCTATGTGATTCTATATATACAACTTCACTTTTGATGATGCACCAAATTGTCATTGATTTGTTAAACAATTTACGATGTATCATCATTATTAACCCAAAAATTTCTTTAAAAAATTATAAATTGTGAAAATTTGATATATTTATTTAATATTAATAAAACTGTTAACAAGTAAAATCTAATAACTTAATACTCAAATTAGAGTCCGATGTTATAATAATAAGCTCAAACTCGAAAGCAAGCGACGTTCAAATTTAACTTGCAAGGTCGAGTGAACTTGAGTAGCTCAAAAGCTTTCAAAAAAAAAAATTAAAATAATAATAATTTATATAATTAATTATATAAATTCTTTTTTTTTACTAAAATGAAGCTTGAGTAACCAATGAACTTTACACTTCTTCGACGTCGAGCTTGAGTTAAAATATTTTTGAGCTTAAGTATGAGTTTAAACTTCAGTTCAACTAACTTGAGTTAAATAATTAGCAAGTAATTCAACTTAATTGCATCACTAAATGTGAATAATCTCAACTCTCAAGTGCCCTTTCTATGTTGAAGATAATTAGAAATCTAAATTACAATCTGGCAATAAAAGGATATGTTAAATAGGAACGGAAAATAACTATTTCTTTCTGTTTGAGTATTTGTGAGAAGGAAAGTGAAAACCAGACATAGATATCTGCTTTCGGCCCGCCCCAATATTGTTTTTTTAGCATAGCCCAGAAGAAAATATGGAGTGAAAATCCAATTAATTATTAAACTGTGAGCCTTGGCCCGTATAGTTCTGGCCCGCTCTAGTTTTGGACTCGTTCTGTCCAATCTCTGCAGTTTGGTCTTCATATTTAGGCAAATCTCGTCTTTACATGTACCCTGTTTTCGAACCAACTTCTACATCTAGTTAGTATCCAATTCGTTTCTTTTCTTATTTTTCTTTATATATGCATTACATATGACATTAAAAGTTAACTACAAATCTGGGATACTATTGGAACAAAAACATTTAATCCGCCTTAAAAAAGAATCTCCCTTAAATAGAAAGTAGGACATATTTATTTATGTATTTATTATCTTGAATTATATAATATGAGATAAGTCTTTCTCATCTCTAAACTTATTATTAACATTGTTAATAAGTTGAGTTGAATCAAATACCTAAGTATTCATGCTAAACCTTGCCTTAAAAATTCAAACTTAGATATTTATCGAATTCAAAATAGTTGAACTCGTGCTCAAACTTGTGAGTGTTTAAATTAGTTTGAGTTTATTCATGAACCCAAGCCAACAAATATTTTAACTTGAATTCAAGATTTTTTTTATAATTTCAAAATGTTTTGATAACTAATTATTTAACTATAAATTTTTCTACATTTTTCAAAAATATTTTAGTACCAAAAGCTTAAAAATATGAAGTCCAATAATAAAAAAAAACAACTATAAACTCTATTTGAACATTTTTATTAATAATTTAATTTAAAATTTGTTAATTATTTAAGTTATCTTCTCTACCTTGTTAAATTTCTAATTTATTATATATTTAAATTTAATAAATATATATAATATAATGTTTAATTTTAAACAAAATACTTGTAAGTAATTTACAAATAATTAAGAAAATTCGAACTCATACTCGCTTACTAAATAAGTTGAACTTAATTCTAGTACCTCAAAATTATTTACGAACTACTCTACTTGTTAACAACCTATCCACTCTAATTGTATATCATGCAATTTAAATTTAGGATATCTTATTTTTAATAAAAAAAATATTATCATTAAATTACTTAAGTTATTGTGAGGCTGTTAACAAGTTAAGTCGAGTACTTATGTACTTATGCTTGAACTCGCCTTAAAATTTCGAACTAGAGTTAACTTTAAGGATTCATTGAGCTCAAAATAATTGAATTCATGTTCAAACTCGCGAGTATCTCACAGGTATTCAGGTAAGTTCAAGTTTGTTCACGGGCTCTAATGAACAAGTACTTTAACTTGAACTCAAGTTTTGTTTTTTTTTTTATAAATCCAAAATGTTTCAAAAGCTAATTATTTAATCATAAGATTTTTTACATTTTTTTACAAATATTATATTACCAAAAGCTTAAACATAATAAGTCTAGTGTTAAAGAACAATCATAAAGCTCATTTGACTATTTTTATTAATAGTTATAATTCAACATCGTTAAGTTTTCAAATTATTATATATTTAAATTTAATAAATAAATAAATATGATTTTTAATTTTAAGTCAAGTATTCATAAGTAGTTTACAAGTAATTATGGAAGTTCGAGCTCAAGTTTATTTTTTTATCGAGCTCGATGTTAAGTTCAAACTCGATTCGTTTACCAATAAGTTGAGCATAAGTTGATCTTAATTTAAGTAATTCATGAATTACTTATGAAATACTCTACTTATTGGTTGGTAAGACACAATCATTTATAAAATTGGGACAACTAACTGGAGTAAAATAAAAGGCTTATTTTTGTTTTGAAAAAAAGGATAATTTGAACAATAATAATCCTTAATTAACTATAGTGGAAAACTATGAAAAATATAGTATTTAACCTTTATCATAGGCTAACCAAGTTTTAGTAAAACAAACTTGAAATGAAACGTGGTGAAGAAATATGTCCCATAATAAATTGACAAAGAATCAAAGTTCTTTTAGAGGGTTGTAAATTTGAAGAGGAAAAGAAGACATTTGAACGGTGGAGATAATAAAGTGTTTGTGGTACAATTTGATCATTAAAGCTATAGTAAATGAACACCAAATCTTGCTAGCAAAATGTCAACCCAAATCTGATTTTGGGCAATCCTTTCAATTACGAAACCAAATTCCATTTCCATTGCCCATACGTATTTCTTGAGAATTCTGAAACCCTAGCTAAGTAGCCATCCAAAGCATTTATCAGAGTTATATAGATGTTTGCCACGTGTCACACCCATACCTTGCACAAAATAATTAATAATTTAGGATAATTCAAAATGAAATTTATATTTTCAAGTCAAATTACACAAAATATTAAAATTATTAAAATATTATTAATAAAATAACAAAATAAA